TGAAAGTTGCTAAATGCTTCGAAAAACTGGTTATGACCCACATCAGAACAACCATCAACATCAACGAAGACCCTCATCAGTACGCATACCGCGAGAATCGATCAACAGAGGACGCCATCTCCTCTGTGGCCCTCACTCCTCTCACTCACCTGGAGTAGATGGGACTCCTACATCCATATGCTCTTTGTGGACTTCAAATCCGCCTTCAACACCATGATCCCCCAAACCCTGATGGACAAACTATTCACAGTAGGACTAAGCCCCTCCATTTGCAACTGTGTCCTAGACTTCTTAACAAACAGACCACAGTCAGTGAGGATCCACAACTTCTCCTCCATAACCATAACCCTCAGCACTGGCTCCCCTCAGGGCTGTGTGCCGAGGACTCTCCTGTTTACTCTGCTCACATATGACTGTGCAGCTACCCATCCAGGCTGTCATATTGTAAAGTTTGCAGATGATACAGTGGTGGTGGGATGTATCACAAACCATGATGAGTCCAGCTACAGGCAGGTGGTGGAACACCTGGAGAGCTGGTCCAGGAAGAACAACCTTCACATCAATGTGAAGAAGATGAAGGAGATGGTCGTAAACTTCAGACGGAACAAACACACCTATACCCACCCACCCCCGAACATAGGATAATCTGCAGTGGAAGTGGTCTCCAGCTACAAGTACTTGGGTGTGCACCTGAATGACAACCTCAGCTGGAGCAACAACACCACCAGTCTGATCAAGAAAGCTCATCAGAGACTCTACTTCCTCAGACGGCTGAGACGAGCTGGTCTGGGAAACTCAGTCCTCACCTCTTTCTACAGGTGTGCAGTGGAGAGCATCCTGTGCTCCAGCATCAACGTGTGGCATGGAGGCTGCACAGCTGCAGAAAGAAAAGCTTTGCAGAGAGTGGTGAAGGCTGCACAGAAGACTGTCGAAGTCAGTCTCCCCACCATCACAGACATCTACACCTCCAGATGCAGGAAGAGAGCCACCTGCATCATGAAGGACCACACTCACCCAGCACACACACTTTTTGCCCTGCTCTCCTCAGGAAGGAGGTTGAGGAGCATTAAAGCCCGTAGTATACTCCCGCGTACGTCCATCCGTGCGGAGGTACACACGTACGTACGCGGAGGGTTGAGACTTCATACTCGAGCATACACCCTGAGCAGCTGCAGAGCAGCTCCGCAAACAAGGGGCGTTTTTCTTCGGGACAAATTGAGGTCGCTGATTTGTCATTTGCTGAGATGCCTACTGGATTGATTGATAGGTTAAAAAAACACACAAAAAACAAGAGCTGGCAGCCCCAGCGGTTTTCTATGTTTATGTTGTTAATAAAAAGTTCTAAAAAAAACAGAGTGCTGGCCCTGCATCCCACAAATCATATCAGCCCAACAGGAAATCTCCAGACCCTCCCGCAGCCATGCTGAAACTGATTTGAATTTGCTCGTGACAAATTCCTTCATTTCTCACCATTTCAGTCATGGCATCAACGGAGGAGGAAGAGATCACTTGCCTCTTGGCAAAAAACTAAAGAAAAGGCCAGATCAGGGATCAAGAAGGGGAATTTAACACATTGGTGTCACTTACAAAACAGTCTGTTGCCGGGCAGTTTATTGTGCGACACCAAGTATGTGTACACGGTCGTAAAAATTGAGCTTTGCATGGACATACCCTGTGGAGGCATGCGTGTACCTCCGCGTACGACATACGCGGAAGTATACTGGGGCCTTAAGTGTAAAACCACTAGACTGAGGAACAGCTTCTATCCTGAAGCTGTTAGACTCATGAATCTCTAACCAGAATAATCACTGTGAAAAATCACATCATGTTGCTGCTGATCTGTTTCATGTTGCTGCTGATTTATTTCATGTTGCTGTGTTCATTTGCACTCATCTGCTCACACAGACTCATGTTCGTGCTGCTGTTCGGCGTATTGTTTTTTTATGCTACTAGTCCTTAGCGTATTTTTAGTTAATGTTTTTCTTAGTTCAAATCTTAGATCTTATTACTGTTTTTCTTTTACATTTTAATTCTTTTGTTGGATGTAACCGGGACCCTGTGTACACAATTTCGTTCCATCACATGTACCACATGTGGTGTGTATGACAAATAAAGAACCTTGAATCCTTGAATGTGTACCTGGCCAAACTTAAATGTGAAATTCTTCCTGTGATCTTTTAAATTAAGCAGACGTACCCCCTGGCGCTCACAGATGGAGAGAACCCTCAAAACGTTCTGACACACGTCCTCCATCGCTGCATTTCCAAACACACAGGTCACGGCCAGGACCTCCACATTCGGCACTGCCAAGGCCATCATTATGGCCTGAGCGTCATCTACGCCACAGTCTGTGTCGATGATCACAAGCTTCTTCATCACGGCTCTCCTCTGGAAAATTTAGAAACAGATTAAACGTTTCACTCTGATATCATAAAAGCTGAATGTTAGCGTTTGTTTGTATGTGGAGGCTCTAAAAGTCTACACACACCTCTTAAAACTATTTGGAATGTTTTTATCTCCTTGTCTTTACTGTAAAATATAGATACATTTTTTTATGCATCCACCAGGACTCAGTTTCAGTAGAAGCAGCCCCACAGCATGGTGCTGCCACCACCATGCTTTACTATGGGAATGGTTATCTTTTGGTGATTAACTGTGCACTTCTTGCACCAAATTTACCTTTTGCAGTGTGGCCAAAAATCAGTTTTTGGGGCTTGGATGCCCCCTCGACCCAGTGCAGGTGGTGGGAGACAGAAGGACTCTGGCTAAAATAACATCATTGTTGGACAATGTCTCCCACTCCATGCATGAAGCCGTTACTGAATTGGAGAGCTCCTTCAGTGTTGCTGTAGGCCTCTGACCAGTTTTCATCTTGTCTTTTCATTAGTTTAGTTCAGAGTGACATGTGGTTCTTGGTAATGTCACTGTTGCGCCGTATTTTGTCCACTTCTTGATGACCGTCTCACTGTGTCCCAGTGCTTATCTAATGTTTAGGAAATATTTCTCTGGATTTTTAATGTAGAATGCAACAAAGTAAATGTCATAAAAATCCTATTAGGACATCTGAAACTTATTTTAGGTTGATGAGAGTCGCTTTAATCGATGGCAGGTGTGTTCACAAGAAGAACGATGGTTCAAAATAAATCTAAAGGTGCTTCAACAAATAATTATATTAATTAAATGACCCTGTTGACTGTCGCTCCTTGACTTTTATGTCAGTCACCGGGAACAAGCCCTTTTCAGATAATTTTATGTGACTCATGCGAGTATATATCCAAACACAGTCCACATGCAGCTCCTGGCAGCGGGCAGACTTTCTACAGCTCTGTGGTTACACCTAAAGGCTTACAGCCAAAGACTACCAGTAGTTTAGTGTTCATGATGACGTTTGTGTCCTGTCTTGGTCTCAGAAGAAATCAAGTGTAGTGTTTTTGAGGGTGAGTGGTTTCTGTTGTTTCTTGGAGGTTGGATCTGGTCAAAAGTGCAAAATAGCTAGTTAAAATGTCTTCTTTTTTATTTTTATCATATTACCTTGCTTTGTTCTTTTTGGATCTCCACTGCCTTTCTTTTCTAATAATGCACTTTCAGATTGGACATTGTTCTACAATTCTAAGATTTTTTGACACAAAGAATTGGAATGAAATGGGAATTAGCTTAAACTAGAATGATATATGATGATTTATTTATATGATTTATGTATAATGATGTAGAATGATTTAAGCATCATGTGCATTTAAGCAATATATCACTACCTGTGAAATACTTTTTATACTAATTAATCCTACCAACATCATTATATTCTACCATGTTGTTTATTATAATTCATTTGGACTTTGTAAATATTATTTTTCTTTTCACTTTGGTACTTTATTTTGTATTTTTATTGCATGCATTAGCATATCTAATGACAGGGAAAGTATCTGATTATCTTTGTAAATTGTTAGCAATTTGCTGTGTTTGATCATGCTGCAAAATCTAAAACTATGTCCTTGAAAAGAACAGAAATGACAGTGTTGAGCTGACCGTGCAAATTGTTATAAACTGATCTGCTGTTATAAACTAGAGGACAAAGATCAACACTCCTGTTCCACTCCTTCTTCTGTATTCTGTTCTTAATTAAAAAGGTCAGTTTTATTTGTCATTGTTCTGAAACTGTGATCATGTTGTTACACGGTCTGTTTGACTAATTTTCAATTGTTACAGAACGTTTATTAAGAGTTTTTAACTTTAAATTTTAGATCATAGTGAACGGACTTACCTTTCGGCGTACAGCAGTTTAAAGATCACCCGCTCTCTGAGCTGTGATTGGTTGGCTCTGTTGGACTCTTCCATAACGCCGGTGACAAAACACCCCTCCGAGAAATTGTATTGTTTTTAACATGTTCATATTAAAACTGTAATATAAAACTTTTATGACTTGGAATAAGTATTATGTTATATATAATTAGCTTAGATAGTGATTTTGTTTGCAAGACTGTGTTAAACATTTTCACTTTTTTGTAGTCTCCCCCGTGCTTGCCGCATGTAATAATGGTACAGTCCAAAACCTCTACTCGGTTGGAAAATACAGGTCAGGAGAACGTCGTATCGTCAATTTATCGTTATTTTATTTCTCGTTTTGGGTTTGTCTTCGCCTAGGTTCAATGTTAAAATGGTTAGCCTCACGTTGTGTCAGTTTACAGACCTCCGTTGTGCTCGGACACCGCTGAAATAGTCGTGAATAAATACCGAGGGAGCAGGGTGTGTTTACATCTGCCATCGCGTTCCCAGGTGACGTCTAGCTAATCTTCACTGACCGTACAGGTGGCGCGAGGCTAACAGAGCAGGTATCTTTGTTCATCGTAGTTGTCGCCATGAACAGTGGTAAATATAGCTGCTGTAAGCCCAAACTTTGGTCGTTTCAAGTGAGGAGTTGGTGACCGCGCCTCCATCCTATCAGAGCCTGTCCGTCGGTCCTCGGAGGAGACTCTTCTTCAGCCATCGTAAGTCTGCGGGCCCTGATGCCCAACACATCGGAAGGAGCGACCTTCCCCGGGCCGCTAGAGCCGACAGGGCTGCAAAGGCCCGCCGATGGAGCAGAGGAGCCCGGGCTGATCGGCTCCCTGATCCGGGACGGCGCGAGGATGAGGCGGGCCTCGAGCGCCGAGCTGCACCTGCAGTGGACCTGTCCGGTCACACACTCCCGGGAGAAGTTCTACACCGTCTGCTCCGACTACGCCCTCCTCAACCAGGCCGCCGCCGTGTACTGCCCTCCGAAGGGGGCCAGAAACGTGGGCACGAACAAGCAGGACGGCGGCCGCCCGCTGGCGAAGCCCAAAGCCCCGTGTGGCTTCAGCTGTGGTCCGGGTGGAGGGGCCCCTGTGGGACCAGAGGGGGACTGCGACATGGAGGAGGTGTCCTCAGGCCACACCAAGCCCCTCCTGGCCTGGGAGATTGATACGGCCGACTTTAATGCTGCCTACACCAGAAAATTTAGAACCAGTAAGATTATTGTATTATATATTAGAGTTAATATCTTTTGACGTGTGGAAAGGGTTGGAGCAGTTAATATCTTACCTGCTGTAGATAACTTTTTGAACAGCTCATTTTGAAGAAATAGTTAATTGTTTTGTGAAATTTTTTACAATTTTTTGTTAATTTGTTAACAGAAACTATGCTTGAGGAGCAACAAAACTATTTTTTGATCATTTCCAGAGTATAAAAATCTTGAAACACCAACCTTGAGTTTTCATGTTGTCATACTGTAACCTATAACCTCACCCATGACTTGAGGGTGTCATACTCTTCGTGTTGCACGGACATGGTCCGAGTCTAGAGCTAACCAGTATGATCAGCTGCAGGGGTGTCCAGAGCCACTATCCTGCATGTTTTTCCCTGCTCCAGATTCAATGACTGAATTAGCTCTTCAAGTTCTGCAGAAGGCTTTTAATCACCCATTGGCTCAAATCAAGTGTGATGGAGCAGAGAAACATCTAAAACATGCGGGACTGTGGTCCTCGAGGACCAGGATTGGATACCCCTGAGGTAATGGCTAGTGTGAGTAGGACTAAAATACACCCAAAACAGGAAACAAGGTGTGGAGCATACACAAAGCTTACACAATGGGTGCAAAATGTATCAACACAACCACAAGAAGACACCCTCAGGTTGTAGGTTAGATTAGAAGTGTTTTGGCTGTCTACACAAAAACTCAAGGAGCTCCAAAGCTTTTTTTAAAGCAGCTTTGAGACTCCCAAAGCACAGTTTCCATCTGGACACGAGGCTAAAATGATTTAAAATTTGGACAGCCTCTGTGAGCAATGTGTTTTACTGCCATCTTAAAACAACAACTATCTAAAATATTTCATAGTGTGCATGCAGATGTAGTTTTAAAAAGTCAGCTTGACTTTACAGGGTTATTCAGACAGATAATATTCCTGCAGGAAGTACCCCCAGGTTAATCCAAAAGTGCTACAGCCTGCTGCTGCCGCCACTAACCATGCAATTATGTTGAGATAAACATATTATGTTTAACTGATCTGATGCAGTGGGTTTTAAAATAGTGTGTCACATTCACTTTGTCGATTCCTACAAATACTTGGGTATCTTGGTCAATTCACATCTCTCTGTTAAGCTCCACGTGGAAAACTTGGTAAAGAAACTGAAAGTTAAACTGGGTTTCTTTTTCAGAAATAGATCTGTCTAAAGCCCTATTCACACGGGATTAGTTTTACCCAAGGACCATTGTAATCTCTCCAACGTCTGCTTTTTATGTGGCACGTTCGCACGGGATACCCAAAGCCTGAGATTTAGCTGAAATTTACGGACATCTTCCAGATATGATGTTAACGCGCTGCGTTGTCACGACCAGACCAGTCCATATAATGTGTTTAATGTGCGGGCCGGGCCGATCTCAGGCTTTGATGTGATTTTACAAATCAGCACAACGAAAACTAAATAAGAATGTACAATGTAAATTTGTGTTAATCTACTTGAGGAGGACGAGCAGGTCCAACCGTCCGGTTTAAGAGTTAAAAAGAAAAAAGCCATGTTAAGTTCAGATGGTCATCTGTCACTGGCCGTGCACGTGAGCGACCAGTGACCGATGACCCGCCAGTTGAAATGGACTGGAGACCTGTCCAGGGTGTCCCTTGCCTCTCGCACAGTGATGGCTGGACATGGGCACCAGAGACTCCCGCTAACAGAATACGAAGAAGCGGGTATGGATGGATGGGTCAGTTGCACGTGCGCGTCTTCGCACCTCCCGTCATCTGCAGTGAAGGAAGTAGAAGCTCTTAAAAGCTGAAGCAAAAAAGAAAAATCCATTAAAAAAAAAAAGCAGAAGCAAGCAGCGCGTTCATTTAAAATAGTCGCCTTCTATATTTTTCCCAAATGATTTTGCTTAAACAAATTGGATCCTGCGCATTTCTGTCCAAATCACAGAGATGACTATTCACATTGGATTAGTATTACCACAGGACCTCGGAGTTCAGCAAAATATAGTAGGTAATTTGTGGGGGAACTTTCACTTTGCAAATTACTGGCATGGCCGATTCGCACGGGATTAACAATACAGACAATCGCCGTAATTATTACAAATAGCATGTGGTCCCTAGGTAAAACTAATCCCGTGCAAAGAATCGGGCTTCACTCTGAATGCTAGGAAACGCCTTGTAAACAGTGACATTATTTACATGAACGCTCCTACAAGCACCCTGCAGATGTTTATCGCTGTCTATCACGGTGCACTAAGATTCATAACTGGCTAACTACCATACCACCACTGCACCCTGTATTCACTGGTTAACTGGTCATCATTAACTTCATGCAGACTCTCCCACTGGTACATTTTCATCTTTAAATCACTTCTTGGTCTGCTGCGTTCTTACATCTCCTACAGCGTGCACTCTCAGGACATTATTACCTGCAGTGTTCCAGTGGCAAAAGCAAAAGGGCCTTCTCCTACGCCGCTCCTGTTTCCTGGAATATCTTGCAAAAAGATCTGAAGTTCTTAACCTTGACTTCTCTAAGGGATTTTAAACAACTGTTAAGTTCCTGGGAAAAAACAATCCAGACATGTTCCTGTTTTTAGTATTTTATATTGCTTTATAATGTAGCTGTTTTTGTTTCATTTTTTAAAATACCATTTTCTTTTTTTGTTCTTCTCAATATGTATGCTTTTTATGATTGTCCACTGTTGTCATCATTCTTTGTTAAAATCAGGTGTCTCTTGTAAATAAGTCCCCGAGGCTCAGTGGGATTAACCTGTATAAATAAAGGTTGAATGTCCTGTGATGGACTTGCGACCCGTCCAGGGTGTACCCCGCCCCTCGCACAATGATTGCCGGACATGAGCACCGGTGACTCGGGTAAAAGATAATGGATGAAATATTGGAGATTAAAGTTGTTTGAAGACGGCAGCAATTATCTTTGATCTTCGCTGTCCTCAGACTAGCCATTAGCTCGTCAGTTGACTGAGCTGTTTCTAAAATTAGAGCCCGTTTAAAGAGCTGTCTACAACAAGTAAGATAAATATCGTTGGTTACGTACTGTAACCCCAGATTCTATGAATATAGGCGTAGCCCTTTAAGGCTGTCGCTGATGGGTTTATCCCGTTATGCGTTGCATAAGCACTGAAAAAAATTAGTCCACGCCCACCTGCTGTGTGGGCCCCACCCGGTCCGTATAAATTACGTTAAGAGCGGGAAATCGGCTCCCAAAATAGCTTTTTTCTTCAGCCATTTAGGAGCCAGTGAGGCCCGACGCTTAAAGGGCTACGCCTATATTCATAGAATCTGGGGTTACAGTACGTAACCAACGTTCTATGTCATATAGGCTTCGCCCTTTAAGGCTGTCGCTGATGGGTTAAGGGCGAAGCGGATGTGGTCCTCGCCTCACTGGGTCCATTCGAACACAGTAAGAAGCGGAAGCTTGCCCAAAAAACGTCTTGTCACTCAGCTCCCCGTGTGCATAACTACGCATCGCGTAATTATGTGCCATGCACAGACGCATGTTGAGTAACTATGCGTTCTGACAAAGCATGAACGCCCCGGAAAACTTTCAACGTGGAGAAGATGTTGAAAAGAGGGGGGGGGGGGGGGGCATGAACCAACTGGTTCATGGCTGATCAGTATAAACCGATTAATATCAATGAACTGATTATTGGTCAAATGAACTGATTGGTAACAATAGTCATGAACTGATTAGTGACAATAGAACCAAAATTAAATCACAGACACAACTTGTGACTGATAACAACATCTCACACTGTAATGCATGCAGACAGAAGTGAGCTTAAACAGAGTTCCATGAGAACAACAATATTCATTCTGTTAGAGCACTAAGGACAGAATGTGTCATGGAACGAGCCGTCACATCACGTAGGTAAAAGCGAATAAATAAGCAGGTTGTTGACCATGCAGCCGCAGTGCAAATGTCCTGCATTGACATACCATTATGCAGAGCAGTCGAAGATGCGATACCCCTGGTGGAGTGTGCTTTGAGGTTGACAGGAGGCTCTAAATCTGATGCTCTGTAGGCTTCAGAAAAGGCCTCACACAGCCAGTGTGACAAGCGCTGGGTGGATAACGGGCGACCTGCAGAAGCATCTCTATAATGCACAACCAATTGTTGAGTTTGACACATTGCAGCTGTGCGCGCTATGTAACACGTCAATGCCCGCACCGGACAGAGAAGATGAAAAGATGCTTCTTCTTCTGATCTTTTTTTTTTTTGGTGGTGGGGGGGTCCGGGGTGGGGGGGGGGGGGGAGAGATTAAAGAGCTCGTGATGTTTTAGGCATAAAAGCTGGGTTGGTCTTAAATCAGCTGAGCTGCCCGTCAGCCTGAATTCTAAGGCATGACGGAGCAACAGAGAGGGCAGATAAATTACTTACCCTCTTAGCAGGTGTTAAAACCAGCAGCAGGGCTGTTTTAAGAGACAAGAATTTAAGTGAAAACCTGATCCAGAGGCTCAGATGGAGCTTTGATCAGGGCTCGCAGGACCAGCGTAAAATCCCACTGTGGAGCAAGTGGGCATAAAGCAGGCCTGCATCTCTGTACACCTTTTAGAAAACGTTTCATCAACGGGTGATTAAAAGCTGTTCTGTCTCCGAACCCTTCCTGAAGGGTTGTGTGTGTGCGTCCTCATGCGACGCTTTACACCAGGATTGCTGCGGGGCGTGCGTTGGCACTGGGTTACCACTGGCTCGGTCTGCAGAAACACGTTCATTGTTTGCTGCGAATCACGTGAGCTTTGAATGATTCCACGAGCTGCAATATTAATTCAGACAAAAAAACCCTTCTTTGAGGATGTATGAGCTAAGCCGCTGTGAGGCTTGGGGAGCTGCTGACGCCGCGGGAGCGCGCGTTGGCACTGGAGCGGTCAGGAAGCCGTGCGTGGCATCGGTGAAACGAGACTACCACTGACTCGGTCTGCATAAAACACGTTCATTCTTGGCTGCAAGTCATGTGAACTTCAGAATGATTCCACGAGCTGCAGTAT